TTTGCGTAGCTCGTACGCGTTTTGAGTAGCCGTCTTCGCCTGCACCAATGTTCAAAACTTCACAGCTGACTTGCCATGTTTCATGATCTCCGAGGCTCAAACCACATAAGACATCGGTACTGAAGAGCTAAACTCACCTAGGAGCAAAATCCGTTTAAATCTACAGGGCGAGTCAAAAGGATCGATGACTTTTTGAAGGGACGGCATAAATCGGTTTCTAAACGTATCAAGCTACAATTTTGCATAAAGGTGGCGGTGAACGTGCATCAAGGGTACAAAAAAATTCACTGACGAAACTTGAGTAAACAGTCAGAAATTAAAAACATTAAATTCCTTCCCACGGCGACCCAAAGGTGTCTGATTGGCGCAACAGTCGGACTCTACAGATATCAGCAGTGCTCTCAGCGTCGACAGCAGTGAAGACACCGAGTACCGCATTTTTCAGAGTCGGGTTTAGTGATGACAACTCTTGTTGTGGCTTGTTTTGGTTTTACCCCTCCTCGTTGAGGCGCTTCACACAGCCCAGAGGTTGCTGTCAAAACTCCACCCAGAAGCAGTGGGATCCGTATGCCCTTAAAGCGCATGCTTCGGCCCCCTTTGTAGAGTCTTAGTCCGACACGTTCAGAAACAAATTTTTGAGTTTCCTTCAAACAGCCATCAATCCCTTCGACTTCAACTATTTTATATGTCTTTGTATGTTGTAAGCAATAACAGGCAATGCCACAGAAGGCCTAACCTGACATTGCGATATGATTAGAAAGTAAAACATGCTGATTTTTATGTGCTGGCACTATATACATGGTTATCACTGACATCATACCACTTGCTGTTGTGGCAGCTGGTATATGTGTCCCTTCTGCAGCATATGTTCCACCCCACTGAGGTTGTTTTTTTGAGCAATAATAAGTAGAACTGGCCACCTGCACAATGCCGTGACGTCACATGCAAGCCATGTAAAACAGGTAGCATCATGTGTGTTCCAATCTTCAATCTGAAGGTGGTTTGCAAAGCGATTTCTGTTTATTAGGTGTTGCGAGTGTTGCATGTACATTTACGGAAATACATGAATGTGACACTTACAGCTGCCTTAATTTTTAGGAAACATGCACGGGAAGGCACCACCACGGGATCCGGGAAGCAGACCTGAGCCTGCTACTTCGCCATCCATAGGTTCATGGGGTCGCTGCCGCTCAACAACAGCAGCCTGGTCGTAGAGAGCTGCCTGGACCGTGCAACGCCTGCAGTAGTGCAGGTCGGCTGGTGATATCAATCTTTCATAACAAGGTTTCTGTATTATTAGATATTCAACGGTTCCTACATACACCAACTCATGTTTACAAACAGATCGGCAAGCTCTTATACGAAAAGCAAGTCGTCTGCTTCCGACCTACCTGTCAGAGATCCAGCGATTCTGCATGAACTGGGACTCGTCCTTCATCAAATAGAAGAGGAAATACCTCAAAGGCTACACTAGCGCTTCCGAAGGGTGGCTACTGTCCTTTATGTGCCCTCGTTGGAGGTTCCTAGACGGGCCATCGGCAATGCAATGGTGACGATACCGAAAGTGGAGCAGGCGACTGCAGGTCTCTCACTTGTCGGGTAAGTTACTCCTCGTGTTGTTACTTTGGGGAGCTAAGGCTGCTGTATAGAGCAGCTCTATACTTCGTTTCACGATAACTTGGCGAACTGTGGAGGCTGCAGCCTCCGCGACCCAATAAGAGTGTCTGAGCAAGGCACGTGACAACACTCCATAATCGAGGCCACGGAGCTAAGCCTCGTTACTACCACAACAACAGCATTGTCCGTGACAAAAAGTTGTTCTATGCTTCTTTTAGTGTTAGTAGTGTTGCAGTGAGACCCTTCTGTCCGCCACACTACATGACACGGAAGATGAAGACATGTTACTTTTTTTCAATGATACTTAATACGGATCAACCCTTTCCCAGGAACAATATGGCTTTTGAATGATATGTGAACGATTGTAGCCGTGTAATCCACCACTTCCGCTCAAACATCGCACTGTGCCGCGGCATTAGCACCCACCACAGATTCGCTAGTAAATTGAACGTATGGTTGTCTCATAAACTGTTTCCGAAGAGCTCACTACTCGAGCGGATGGCAATGTTGCGCCGGTGAATGTTCATCTGAAGTTGGTTGGTTTCACAGCAGACGACTTTTGATCAGCAGATGACAGCCATTTCCTCCAGGTCTTGATTTTGGAGCAGTGACACAAACGCTCCCGTGACATAGAGTCACATGCCTCGCTCCAACGCTGTTCTTGGGTCGCAGGAGCCGTAGTCTCCACAGTTTGCCAAGTTATCGTGAAACAGAATATAGGCAAAACCAGTGGTGTAATTGGTAGACTTCAGACCAAAGGTGGTGGCCAGGTAGTTCTTCAGCGAGCAGTTGGTGGATGGGTGTCAGTTCATTGAATATAGTTAAGGAAGGAGTTGAAGAAGCCAAAGATGACAGCAGATTCCTCATGCCCGTGTTCCGAAAGTGATGGTACATCTGTTCAATGATGCAACATGCCTCACACCGATGCACTTGTGGAATCACGAGGGTGTAGCTTCCAAAGTTTGCCAAGTTGTGATGAGATGGATTATAATACCTCAATTGCGGTTTAATATGAATATCTGATTGTATGGAAATTTTCTCAGTTGCTTGCAGGCTTGCAGGATGGAGGTGCAGAGGATGGCGAGATGTTCGAGGAGCCACCTATGGACGTGGGAGACGACTCACATGATGTCGCAGCCGCTGGAGTCGGCTTCGAGGAACCAGATTTGACCGGGCACAGAGGAGAAAGCTTGGCTGCAAGCTCAAGGAGGGCGAGCACCGCGAGCACCAGCTGCGCTGCAAGCACCTCTGCAAGCAACAGCGTGTCCGTGCCAGCGAGGGCGCCTCCAAAAAAAAGGGCTCAGCACCCAAATACTGCCCTCATTAGGGCAGCAATTGAGGAGCAGAAGCTCCTCCGTTTGAGCTTTGAAGCCGCTCGAGCAAAGGAATTCGAGCTCCGGGAGCGGGAGCTCGTTCAGAAAGAACTTGTGTTGCAAGCGCAAGAACGTGCTTTGAAGCAACAAGAACGTGCTGCGAAAGCGCAGAAAGACCTGACTGCGGCGATGATCGCTTTTCTAAATAAAGCACCAAAGTAAGCGGATGGAGCACATTTGTGTTGTACTTTGGAGCAATTATTCATCTAGCTATGGGATTTGATATGTCTTTATTGTTAACATGCACAATTCCAAGTGTTCTACTACGCATTAATATTCATACTACCCCCCACCCCCCCCACCCACACACAAAAGAAAAATGTTATGGAAAGTGACACTCCTGTGTCTCGCTGTTATAGTGACTGACAGGGCGAGAAGGGTAGCCACCTAGGTGGCTCCGAGGCGAGGGTGGTGGCCTACGGATCCCATGTGGCGGGTTCGAATCCCGGCCGAGGTGCCCGCAATCTGACTGAGGCTTATTGCAGAGGAGGCGCCGTGTAACCAAGCTTTCATTATAGTCAAAAGATCCCCAGGTGGTCCAAATTAATCCTCAATCCTCCGCTGGGGCGTGCCAGATGACCATCGTTGGTTTGGCATGTAAAGCCCCCAAATTTGACTTGGAGCGAGAAGGGTGAATCTTTCCGAAACTCCAGCATCTCCAGTTAATATTGGGGAGGAGATCAGACCCTGACACCCCAAGTGACTAACTTTAGAACTACACAGATGGGGACGAGAAATAACAATGAGCCAGCGCTTGGCTGACGAAACCGAACGCTGCGTCAGCGTTTGGCTGGAGTTTGTGTTCGGTTGCTTGCGGGGAACGAGGGGCTCTTTTGTTTCTACTCCGGCCTGCATGAAGAATGCAGCATGCAAGGTGCATATGCCCAGCTCGGCACAAAAGCCGAAGTGGGTCAAGCTCGCATTCTCCGACAACTGCTTTCGGGAGAGATCCGGCACCAACGATAAACGTGACTTTGTTTCGTGTTAGTATTTGTATGTTACACTACCCTGCGCTCTATTGCAGAAGATGAGGCGAACATGACCACAAGGCCTGTGGGCATGTCCACAGACGTGTCGGGTAAACACCGCGGTGTGGGGACAACAAATGGGTTGGAGCAATACCACTTAGAAGACAAGGCCTTCGCATGACCTTTGGTTAGTAGATCCCTGACCCGCCCCAAGCGGCAAACAGCCCGAAGCTTGACGAGAGTATGGGTCACGTCGCAACTACGTCTCGTTCACTGGCGGCCACAGCTGTGCGTGCGCGACTGCAGAGTGCGATAGAGAGCTTCCACAGTTATTTGCAATGTGAATACAACTACAAGATTGCCTGTATTAGCAGCCTACTAATGTAATTTCTCGCGACACCATTGGTTGCCGGTCTTAGCAGCTTGTTAATGTGAGCTCGTTCTGAGCATGACCACTGAAGCAGGCAATGAAGCAGACGATGGTGCTCATCCGGGCTACCTAAAGGGTGCTAAGGGGAGCTACTATTGATTATGTTTAGAGGAGCAAACACGCAGGCCTTGATCTCCTCACCAATAGTACCTAGCAAGTTCCACATCTAGTACTGATAGGCCAGACAGGAATGTAGAGTGGACACAAGTACTACGTTAGTGACTCAAAAGAAAGTTTCAAGTCTCTTTTGAGAAGCCTTCGGCCTGGAACTTGTGCCCAAACCGTGTCTCGTGCTACCCTGCCAGATGGGGCATCAAAGTTGAAACGTGCACACCTCTACCGTCTTCATTCAGACATAAAAAAAAGATAAAAACTGAAAAATGGTTGAAATGTTCAAATAAATACTGCAGTTTAACTTGATTTGAGACAACGGGAGGAGGCATCGAAAGAAGTCAGCTCTAAAGCCAAATTTGTTTGGCCCTGAGAAGGGCCTTTGCTGGCGCTCAAAAGGGCCTTTTCTTCTGTGGTGGTGAAGGGGTCTTTGCTCTGCTGGTCCTCAAAAGGGCCTTCGTTCCGGTGGAACTCGAAAGGGCCTTTGCTTCGCTCTTTACTCTAGTGCTGGTGAAGGTAGGCAGCAATGGAGTCCCGGACACTCGAACCATTGCCTGCCACGGCATCCGTGTTGCAGACTGGCTGCTCGTAGAGGCGGGCCTCCGTGCCAACTTCGGTGCTCCACTGGGACTCCACGCCGTCGTTGAAGTGCTCGCAGATGTGATTCAACGTGCAGCAAGCCCGTATAACGAAGCGGGCGTTGTCCACGTCGCACTCCAACCGCTTCATGATGAAGCGGAACCGTGCCTTGATCCTGCCGAAGGCGTTCTCCACGACCCTACGTGCAGACGACAGTTGCCGGTTGAACTTCTCCTGCGGAGACTGTCCCGCGACATTCTTGCGTGCGTATGGCTTCAGCATGTTGCACGTCAGAGAAAAGGCTTGGTCGCAGAGAACCAGTGGCGGCACGGCAGTCCCGTTGATGGTGACCATTGGTGTTGTAAACGTTGGCCCTTCCAGAATTTTGGCCAGTGCCGACCTCCAAAAGACATGCGCGTCGTGGCACCGCCCTGGCGTCCCCACGTTGACGTACCGGAACCGGTACCGGTGGTCTACAAGGGCCAGGAGAATGATGCTGTACCTGGAGAAAAAAAAAATACAATGCATGCGTCAGTTTTTCACACATAATACGTGAGGCTTCGGGTTTTTCTAAAGCTGTAGATTCAAAAAGAAAATTTGTACACATTATCAGAGCTAGCACGGCACATTATTGAAAATGACAAGCTAACAATCACCTGCTAGCATCTCGTGTTTCGGTAATGTTTCGTCATTTCCACCTCATTAAACGCGGAATACATTTTAGCGCTGAAAACATAAGGACACAAAGACGAGAATCGGACGCCACAGTGCGATTCTCGTCTTTGTGTCCTTGTGCTTTGAGCGCTAAAATGTATTCCAAGTTCCAAAACGAACTAGCCCAACAATCTACTCTACTGAAATCCATTAAACGCAGCTATTTTTTGTTTTGTTTTAATTAGTGTACTTACCAGCCCTTGTAGTTGTAGTAGTCGCTGGCGTTGACCTTAGGTGGCGACACGGGGAAGTGGCAGCCGTCCAGCGCGGCTATGCCCTGCGGAAATTCCAGGGCAGCCTGGAACTCGCAGACGTGGTCGGGGAGTTCGGCGGCGGTCATCATCTTGAGCCAGTCGCGCTCCAGCTCGGAAACGACGCTGTGGCAGAACTCTTTGTAATTATCGTTGACCATTGACCGCCCCAGGCCGAACAAGTGGGCGACGGTCCTGTCTTCCGCGCTGGAACACAGCTTGTAGAGCGCAGCTCCAACTCGTTTCTTGACCGATATAGTGGGGCGCATAGGGGTGACCTGGCGCTCCATGTGGGGCCGACAAACGTCCACGATGTACCGAAAGGTCGCCGGCATCACCCGGAAAGCCTGCTTGAAGTGGCTCTCGGGCAGGTTCAGTAGCGTCTCCTCAAACCATCGTTCACCCCGAAAGTACGCTTGGACGCTCCGCGGCACGGTCGTTTCTCCTGCTGTCGCTGCAGCGATGACCAGGATGTTTGCAAGAAGCCTTTCCTCGAAGAAATGAGCTTCTCGTCGGGCAGACTGAACGTCGGAGCTGATCGACGTCAAAGCCTCCGTGATCGACGACAAAGAACTATTCAGCGATGCTAAACCACTTTCATGGTGGTTGCGCAGGCACACCAGGAACGCGACACGAGACGCAGGGTCCATCGTAGCCAGATCAACATCGGGAGGAAGATCCATCGAAGGAACAAACTGGGGCAACTGCGTTGAAACTCGAGCGCGAGCACGACGCCGAACTGAACAGGGCAAAAGCGTAAAGAACGGGAAGGAGTGCGCGCACTGAGCAACAGGACCGAGCAAGGGAACCTGGCAACACCCCTCCGAGCGAGCGGGCGACGCTCAGGGTTGCCGCTAATCGCCAAAAAACCACTGTGCATGGGCATAAAGCAGACATTGTTGTAATCACTCGACTAAACTCGTCATTTTGTTTTTTCTAATATTTTGTTTGCTTTAGAAAAACTTAAAAAAATTATTTATATTGCGGAAATTTTATCTTTCAGGCGTGAACGTGCTTTATGCGTTTGAACGAGCTGCGGGAGTTCAATCGCTGTAAACATCCTCTAAATGACATTTACTTGTGCCGTCTGGCACGGCAGAACGTAAAGGTCATTTGAAAATCCTGAAGGCCTTTGGCGTAAAGGTCCTTTTAAGTGCCCGTCTGGCAGGGGTATAACTCACGCAGGCCATATTCGACAACAGCTGCCATCGAAGCAATAGGCGGCGTTGTTGTGGTTAGGTTGAACTTCTTTCCCTTTGCCAGTACACGCGTCTCGGTCTCAGAGAGCACTCTCGAAGACAGATTCTTCACGAATCTCTTGTTGGTCTCTTGGGAGACGGCGGCCTTCTCCCCCTGCCAAAGGATCGCCCCCCGAGGGAGAGGGCACAGGGACTGGTTTATAAAATTCCCTGCGGTGACTGCCCCGCTTCGTACGTTGGGGAAACGAAAAACTATCCAGAGCGCCTGCGGCGCCACCGCTACTACATCGCGAAGAAAAATGTGGAGGGAAGCGCGCTGGCCGAACACGTCGAGAAGACGAACCACTCCATCGACCTTGACAACAGCTCCATCCTCGGAAGGGAGAAAAACTGGCGGAGGCGCCTTCTGTTGGAGTCGTGACACATTCAATGCACACGTGGCAACATAAACCGGTCGGCGGGGACCCTTCCCAGCAGCTACGTTTCGGGGTTAAGAGGGATAATCCGGAAAACACCCGGGGGTGTTCGGGTTCGTGGGCAGGCCGTTCCGCGGGACAAAAACAGTCACCCGTGATCAAGGAACCGAGTTGGTTCCGAAACGTCGGGATTTTTGCTTTTTAATAAAGCTTGGTTAGAGTTTCAAAGTTGAAGATTTATTGATATACCATATATGTAGGGAATGACCGCAATCTTGTCGAGATCCTTTCTTTTGATAAGTTCTTATCTTCGTGCTCTTCATGCTCGTCCAGATGAATTCACAAACGGTTTCCAGGAGACCCGTTGGGTAGCCAGAATTACATAGACGAACAATGTATCAAAACTGGGCCCCATTTGATGATGACACGATTTGTTTAGGGCTGAGTTTACTCGTAGCTTGGCTTTCGGCGGTTTATGGCAAGAGTGTGGTCTGTTTAGCAATTTTGTATGAGGCTGGTGTTTTAAAATTTGATCAAAATTTAATTTATTTTTTACAGAATATGTTTCTTGTTTTTATATACAAATTATTGTATTGATACGACATCTGAAAGGGAAGAGGATGCGTAAAAAGAAAGACAAAGTTTCTTCACTCAAGCAAGTTGATATTCAGCTGGTGTCTTCTCTTCTTTTAATTCTTCCTCTTTCTCCACAAGTTCAAGCTGACAATCACGATGTATGTACCAACTAGCTCAATTCAAGCCCTTAACTAGGTTATTAAATGTATGTCTTAAAACATGTTTTGGGTATCTCGCCCAAAACTGCCTTCACGTTTAGTTAAGTCATCGCCACTTTGTCTGGATCTCGACCACGTCTGCAAACTTAGATAAAGCCTGCAGCTTCAAAAGAAAGTGATCAGAATTATTGACCACGTATAATGCTACTTTTACGTTGTTGGTTTGTTAGAAATATTTGTTTTAGAACTTCGCCATATGAAATTCCTACGATTACAGCTCTTGCGCTTGTTCGAAACTGGACCAAAAATGATCGAATTTCGTATCTTCTATTTTTTATTATTTATGTTGTTAATAAAAATCATGATAAATTTTCGAAATGGCCATGAGAGTTTAGAATTTTATTCGACATAGATCAACGGCGATAAATAAATCGTACGTAAAATTTGTCTAATACTTCTAAATTAAATAAACAGTTTTATTGCTCGTAAAGTAAACTTGCTTCACATGTCAATTCACGTGATTTCGTGATTTTCAAGTATTTGTTTTTGGTATTCAGATGGGAAGCTTTAAATCACCGTTTGTGCAAGTGATATTTGTCGTGATGAACTTAAAAACTCATTGCACATGTATAAAATAATGTCTGAATACAATGTAAAAACTAAATATAATAATATAATATAAGTTGTGAACATTGATTTTGCCTGAGAGTAGGAGAATGTAATAAAATATCTAAGATATAAAAAAAATCGAGCACAAATGAGCCCGTATATAGCGAAAAAATTGTCAAAATCTAGACGAGCTGGTGCGCATTAATCGTGATGTTTAAACCCTGAGATTGGGAAGGAAACTTGGCAAGAAACCAGAAGGGATCAATGAAAATGAACAGAGACCTTTTAGTTTGTCTAGAAGTTTCCTTCCGACTCTCTGGGTTTAAAGATCATGATCGTTATATAGCACTTATGCTTCAAATGAACGATCAATGTTTCAATGTTTATTCGTGGTTGAGGGTGCTATGTTGTTTATATGCTTGTCAACTATATTCTAGGATGCTCCAGGGGGATCGAGGTGAATGCGATGTTTTTAGCCTAGAATAAAATAAACTCTCGACGTTGTATGAAAGCAGGCCTATGTGACTGAAATACTCTAGGCGGTTCATTGCCAGCTTGTGGCCATCGTACACTTTTCGCAGAAGGTGTGTATCCGGGGAACGTTTTCGGGAAAAATACGCCTCCATTTACACTCATCTGCGTAAACGCATAAACTCATAAACTCTGCAAAAAGTAAAGCGTAAAAAAAACACACACACACACCGTCTTAAGAATCTGATATTGTCACACAAACATTGTTTTTTAGACTGCAGCCCGCACCCGATGTGCAACACACAGAGTCAAATTTCAGCCGCAAATAAGTTATTTCTTAGATTGTCCGCTTGCAGCGTAAAATTCGCGCCTGGTTGAAAATTCGTATGTAAAGGGAAAAAAATATAGGCAGCACGTCTCTAGAAATGCCCGCTTCACTATCGTGTAATAAAGCTTAAATTATGCACAATATTGCGACACATTATAAAATAAAAATAAAATAAATGAAAATGAACGAATAAAGCAGAAATCGTCATCAAGTTAATTTGCAATAGGGAAGTCCGTCTCATTTAAAACCAAAGTACATTTCGGTATAACCCGCACCTTTAGAACGTGCGCACCGCGTAAACATTAAACCTTTAGAGGTGATTAGTCCGCTTGACCATAGTCGGGAAAACGCGGCATATGGCTGGACGTGTACGCGACCCTCCAAACACCCCATTAGTCTCGCCGGCATCGCCAGAGACACGCTGACTGCCATTTAGAGATATCAGTGCCGTTGGAATATCGACGCCAGTCGAAAATGAGTTTTCAGTTTCTTTCTTAATTTCTGTAGTCCATTTAACCTGAAGTCCCCTACCGCAGCCGACTCTGCGATCCGACGGAGACAATCGCGGAGACAATCGAGCTATCACAGGCTCAACCAATCACGCACAGAAAAAAAAAAGGCTGCAATCCACGCTATGAAGGTGGCTTGATAGCGAAGCTGTGGTATCCCCTGCAACGATTGCCCACGGCGCTCTAGATTCTTTTTATGGCAAACGCCTCCAGGTGGTGCTGCAGCCTTTGACGTCCCACAGAACTTAGGGTTTATAGAAATAATGAACAAGGGCTACGTTAACACCGCCGCTTGAAATGCAGTTGAAACCTTACTCCTCCAAGTGAACACCAAAAGAACGAAGGAGAAATAGTTCGGGCATTCTTGTAAACCAACTTGCGTCCTCCAAGATGTAATATTGCACAGCCGAAGGCCCTCGTTAAATCTCCAACTTTGTGATCCATGTAGCATTTATGCTTTCTTGCACTGGGGACATCAGCAAGCTCAACAGGCTTGCATTGACGGTGCGACCTTAAGTCGCTTCGGACGCAAGCGGCAGTTCGCGTTTATAAACAGGAAAATGGTCTATACCAAATGATTGCCGTAGATAAAAGTAAACGCAGTGCACAAGACATTTTTATATGAAAGACTTTGCAGTCTGCCGTTGTCGCGGCAGCTCCTGCAACCCCAATCTGTACCGAGAAAGGCATGCTAGGAGCACTACATGTTTCATAGTGTTAGCGGGGCTATTACGTCACTCCACACGTCGTACTCTGCCGTTGCCGCGGCAGCTTATGCAACCGCAATCTTTACCGCGAAACGCATGCGGGGAGCGCTACGTGCTTA